TGTTACAGCTCTGGACATCACCTTTGTTCTTATACAACGGGACCATTGTACTCCACCTCCATTATTCAGGCATCATATTAGTCTTGAATATAACACTAAACAATACAGTAAGCCATTCCAAGCATGCTCTACCCACACACCTCCACAGTTCAACCGGAATTTTGTCTGGCCCGGTAGCTCCGCCCCTTCTCATCTTACGCATTGCCTTCATGACTTCATCGATCTCAATGTCCCTACAATTGCTTAATTCATGGTGACTGTCANCTGGCCCGGTAGCTCTGCCCCTTCTCATCTTACGCATTGCCTCCATGACTTCATCGATATCAATATCCCTACAATTACTTAATTCATGGTGACTGTCAGCATTCCTCGATTCCCCAAGTATATCNTCCTGATCCCCTTCTTCACTTAAAAGTTTATGAAAGTAGGTCTGTCACCTCCTCTTAATCTGGTCATCGCCCATCAAAACTTTGCNGGTCTGCCACCTCCTCTTAATCTGGTCATCTCTCATCAAAACTTTGTCGTCATCATCTTTTATGCACGTCACTTGGTCCAGATCCCGAGTTGTCCTCTCTCTCGCCTTAGCGAGTCGGAATAACTTCTTCTCCCCACCTTTGTTCCTTAGTTCCTCATACAGACGAGCAAAAGCTGTCGTCTTAGTTCCTTAAAAAAAATTTAAATTTCCAAATTTATTGGAGTTTTGTCCTAAAATATGACACGTGTTGATGTTTCATTTTGACACTTGGCATAATATTGTGGATTTGCTTCTCCTTTTATATATTAAAAATAGAAGATTCTCGCCAAAGAAGACATCTTAATGAAGAAATTTTTTGTCTCATATGTCATTGCTCTTTCTTCTGCTTGTACATTGTTGCCTAATCCTGGCAAGGCCCCTGAATTGAGGGTTCGGTCAGTAAAAAGGATCTCAGCTTCGATGATTTTCTCAAGTTTCTTATCTTGTTGAAGGCGTCAACCCAGTAACTTTTGCCTAGACACTGTACGACAACAACAACAACAACAACAACAACAAATTCAATATAATCTCATAATTAATGGGGTTTAGGAAGGTAGTGTGTACCTTACGAGGACTTGTCTTACCAGTATTATTACTGAAGAAACTCCAAACTTGTTTTGCAATATTTCTGTCACTAAAAGATGGTGAACTATATTTCATTTCTGGACTGTATGCAACAACCAAAGGTTGATGCCTGATATCTTTATATTCTCGTAAGTGGCATTCCGTTGTGAAGAAATTTCCACATAATATGCACAAGTATCTAATTGATGTAAATCTCTATTGATCTAAGGTAAAGAGACTGTCTTAAAAGTTGTACAGGCAAAGAGAGAAAATCGCTCTGCTCTTTCAAATAAAAATTTACTCTGACATTATTTTTTGTCTACAATAAATTAGGATCAAAATTGCACAATCAAATAAAATTACACCAATAATAGAGCAAGTACATTTTCTGCTTCTCTGCTTTTTCTTTTGACAAAATTGAAAAGAAGATGACTAGCCTTCACTTTACTTCCAAGCTTTTCTCCCTCGAAATTGTTTGCCAGCGCGTTGTTGTTTCCTCTTTTTGTCTATCTTAGATCTTGCTACCTTGGCTTTCTTTGCCGCGGATGGCATGCGTTTTTTGCTCTCTTTTTGCCTATTGCTTGAACCACCCGTCTGCACAATTGAAACGAAAATGTAATCACATCATCCAAGTCACAAGTACATTTCATAGAATGGTATCCTTTCTAATCACTAATGATCCACATGCTTTTTGTACAAACTGAGCGCCTTAGTTCAAGCAAGTGCGAAGGTCATGTGAGATGTGAAAGCAAGAGAAGGAAATTTAAAAGAGAGGGAGAACAGTGTAGGAAGGGAGAGAGATGATTTCTGCATAACTGATACAGAAAAACAGGAAATTCATAAACAAAGTAAACACCCACCTGATTGGAAAAATAGAAACGAATTTGAAATTTCAGGAAGTATGGCTTTCAAAAACTTCCAACAAAATAGCTCGTCAAAAGAAAGTTAAGATGTCGTTAAATTCCAGAGATTCTATAACATTTTATAATGCATCCAGGAAGTAGATGCAGAGTGCGCTTGGCGACAGCGAGTACATCATCAAATCATTTTCATGCACTTCGGGAATAAAACAGTTGACTATGTATAAGTGTAAAGTTCCTCATGAAATGCTGAGTTCACCATTTTTAGACAAAGAAGAAAGTTAAGTAGCTCAGAAACTTGGCAAACAATAACAAAAAGTTGGGCAAAAACAAAACATTACATCACGGAACTAGGAATTATTGAATAAGAGAAATTTAGAAATATGCAATGCTAAGCTCAAGTAAATGAAATCATTTACAAACAACAAAAGTACCTTTTTCTTTTTCAGAGCTGTTTTAGCCTGGTATCTCCCTCTATCCTCTCTGCCAGCCCTAATAATCGCCAGTCTCTCTTCCTTGCTAAGCTTCTTTCGTATGTTGGCCTAAAGTAGTAGAAATAAGAGCATAAGATGCAACACTGTTAGGGCAGAAGATTGCTATTAACAAGAAACAAAACAGCCAACTCCTAAAGTAAATCAAAGAAAAGAGGATAACAGTTTTGTGTCCAGTGAGTAGAATTTGAAAGCGACTGCAGCACAATCTAAAATCCTATTTTATCAGCTTAACATGGGGGAAGCATTTTTTTTTTCTCCCCTCTTTTTTTCATGGGGCAAGAATTTTGCTTCTGAACCAATTCGTAATTCCAAATACAACATTGACTGCAGAAAAAAAATGCTGTGAAAGTGTCCGGCACCTAACCTCAAGTTTAGCAGCATCAACTCTTTTAGTACTAAGCTGGTCTGAGCTGGGAATCTTAAATCCATGTTGTGCTAAAACAGTCCTCGCATCCTTTTTAGCCTAATGAGCAAAAACAGAGAAATGTTACAGCAATAAAAAATACCTGCTTCTGTAGGAGGAAGTTCAGGGCATTCGAACTTGTAAGGTCACAGAACATAAATGAAGAATTCATTGCAAGTGGGCTTGAGTTTCCTCAGAATCAGTATACCTTCAGTTCTTTGATTCTTTGGAAGTCCTCATTAGATAGAATACCATCCCCCATATTCAAAGAGTTATGTTCCATTTTCGCCCCTGCTAATTTCTTTAAAGCACGAAGGCTATTACTGGCGGCA